GCTGCCCTGCTTGGTGGCGCGGCCCAGAGGGCCTGGCCACGGCTGCCCTCCCCAGAGCTGCTGGGCAGGCGGGCAGCCGGGCCGTGCTTGGGGGCCCTGTGCACCAGCGCCTTTGGGGGCCCTCACAGACCAGCGGGTCCGAGAGAGCCGGGAAGGCCGGGACCCGGCCAGGTTCTGCCCCGGGAGCCCTGCTGGTGCTGCCCCCTGGGCCCCGGTGCCCGCTGGGAGGGCCGTGCCCCGGCCCCACGGGCCAGCCAAGGACATGGTGGTGGCCAGCGGCAGGCCAGGCTCACGGGCCCGCCCTTGCAGCCTACACGCCACAGGAGGTCATGGGCGGCATCCCCGACTCGGAGCGCCTGCTGCCCGAGCTCCTGAAGGAGGCCGGCTACGCCAGCAAGATCGTGGGCAAGTGGTGAGTGCCAGCTCGCGCTGGCGCGTCCAGGGCACCCCGCCACGTCCACTCTCGGGCACCTTCTCCCGCAGCTGCCGCCGCTTCTTGGCTCACAGGGACGGCGGTGGACACAGAAGCTGCGGGGCTTTGGGGCGACCCGGTGGGGCCGGCAGCCCCCGGAGACAGCTGCCTCGGGCGGGGCCGCACGCCCCACGCCCACCCCGAGGTCTGCCTGGCCTGGCGCCTCTGCTCAGTCACTGACGTGGCCGGGATGGGCACGTCTGTGGAGGAGGAGCGGGGGCGTGGGCGACGCTGGGGCACACAGCAGAACGCAGGACTGGTGAGGGGCTCAGCTCGCTCGCCAGTGTGAGGCCTCCGGAGGCCTGGCCAGCACGAGGCTCTCCTTGGCCGCAGGGGTCCGCGCTCTGGCTCCTGTCCTGGGACCCCCCGGGGACCCCTGCACCACAGATCCGGCCCCTCAGCCTGGCCAAACCCCGCGGGAACCCCAGCACCGCCGGGCCCCCCAGGCCAGGCCGCAGACGGCGCTGCAGCCGGGGGCCCTGAGTGGCCTTAGTGTCGAGATGTCCCGAGCCTGAAGAGGGGCGCGTGGGTGCACCCGGGAACTACTCCCCTGCGGTGTGCGGGCTGGGAGGCGACAGCATCATGGCCAGTGGCAGGACAGGACGTGCAGGGGCCTGGAGCAGCGGCCCAAGCCGCGTCTGATGCCGAGGACCAGGGTGGGCAGGGTGCGGGCGGGGCTCAGCCAGCCACACACCTGGCCCAGGGAGAAGCGACTGGCACCAGACTCAGTGTCTGGGTGGGCTGAGGTCCCCCGCCAGCCTCCCACCCTCCCACCACATCCCCCCGAGCCCAGTAGTGGACGAGGTCCGGGCCTGCAGACAGCCCACCCTCGTGGGCCGTGGCGTGAGACAGCCTGGCCACGGCCTGCGGCCACCACCCACACATACACCGTGCTGACCCACCGGGGCCTGGGCTGGGGCTCCTTCCCACAGGGGTCCGCGGGCGGGCTCCCCCAGGGAAGAGTCTCCCTGACTGGGAGGCGGCGCCCGTGAGGCCGGACGGACACCAAGGCGGCCGCCAGCGCCCCTCCTGGCACACAGGGAGGAGGAGACGCATCTGCGGGCGGTCAGGTCGCAGCTGGGCGGCTGGGGCGGGAGCGGGGCCGGCACCGTGGCCCAGAGCCCCCCCGGCCTCCGGAAAACGCCTGAGCCGCTGCCTGACCGCCTCCTGCGCCCTGGGAGCCACCTGCTGGACACCCCTCCGGCGTGGGCAGGAGCCCTGCACGCCCTCCCGGCCGGGGCTCCGTGTGCCTGGCTGGTGCCCGCCAGGCTTCTGCGGGGCTGGGGAGGTGGTTGGACGTGCTGCCGGAACCTTAGGGGGTCCCCTGCCGGGTGCCTGAGGTGTCTTGGGTTCCTGTTCCAGGCATCTGGGCCACAGGCCTAAATTCCACCCCCTGAAGCACGGATTCAACGAGTGGTTTGGCTCTCCCAACTGCCACTTCGGGCCCTATGACAACAAGGCCCGGCCCAACATCCCGGTGTACAAAGACTGGGAGATGGCCGGCAGGTACCCCCCCCCCCCGCCACGGAGCCGGGCAGGCGGTCACGGGGCCTCACGTGCGGCGTTTCCCTTTTCTCTGCTGTTCCTGGTGGGCCGGGGGGGGGGGGCCTGGCCCCGCCTTCCTGGTGTCCTCAGGGGAAAGCCCCGGCTCTCCAGGCACCGGCCCGTCCCAGCAGCTCCCGTCCCCGGTGTCACCTCGGCGGGGCCCGGCCGGCCGTGGGCTCGGGACGAGGGGCCTGTCCAGCCGCGTCCTGACCCCCTGCCTCTGGGTGTTTCCAGATACTATGAAGAGTTCCCGATTGACCTGAAGACGGGAGAATCCAACCTCACTCAGCTGTACCTGCAGGTGAGGAGGCCGGGCGGGCTCGGGCGCAGAGGCCTGCCGGGCACAGCCAGACGGCCGCTTCTCCCCAGGAGGGCCTGGACTTCATCCGGAGACAGCACGCCGCCCGGCGCCCCTTCTTCCTCTACTGGGCTGTGGACGCCACACA